GGTCAGGGAGACACGTCCAAGAAGAGATGACTCCCAGCTGCAGGCTCTTCAGATGCAAAGAAAAACAGTCACACCAGCAAACGTACGCTCACACACTTTTCTGTGACAGAGTACAGCAGAGGCCTGATGTGTTAACATTACAGGCTCCATAAATCTGACAGAAGATTTTTCATTAGTTAGATGCATCTATGCTTCACTTCCAAGATTGAACAATTCCCAGAGGAATCAAGTGCTGAAAAAAGTTCAGAAGGAGTTGAACAAACGTCCGTATCATGAAACATGAACTGTTTTGATAAAATGTAATTAAACCTTCTACCCCAACTGAGAAAATAATCCTCATTTGAAAGACACGGGGCTTAATTAATTTAAGGCTACATATAGAGGTCGAATAAGCCTCGTGAACTGAGAGTCCGTTTGCAATGTTCACCTGATAATCTAACATTTACAGATTGCATTCCAACGAAGACACAAACACTACTAAGTGGTCATCAACACACTAAACAAAACATATCATTATGGCCGACCATTACACACAGACTCACACCAATATGAGCACAAGAAAGGGACTAATAAAGACAATGACTCATGTGAGCGTCAAGACCATGCACAGGCACATAAAATGACAGCAAAGCCTACATGACTGTGTGTGCAATGATAGGTCTGCTTGGCCATCTTTGATCTGTGTTTTATTAGAGGCCTGGGGAAGACGCTGCTGAGTTGGAAAACATGTCATGGAGCTAACAAACTCTGCAGGGAAGTGTGTGCATGTATGTTGTGTGCCTCACAATTTCATTCCACTCAAACTAATTGAGTAACAGTTCATGTCAGTGTGTATGTGCGAGCGTCTATGCAAGAGGTAGTGTCAGTGCAACAAATAAATTGCATCCTGTGATGAAATTCATTTGGTACAATGCTAATGCAGAGAACCAGTGCAATGATACACTGCAGCACCAAAGTCAGGTCTGAGATGCAAACGCTGTTTGTGAAGGAGCACATTCCAATCTCTGCAGTGCAACCTTTTCTGTGCAAACCCGTGACCTCAGCAAGGGAGCGAAAACAAGCTTCTCTAAAGGAACAAAGCAGGAACTACAGTCATGCAATCACAAGGACTTAAATATACAATGTAATGTAGAACATTTGCTCCAAGTAAAACTGGAATACATTTACGGTCCTTGCCAAAAAATTTTAAGAGACCGGAAAGAGGATCCGAGTAAGAATTCAGGAATGTGCGTTTGTCTTTCAATCAAACGTCCTTTTCAGCAAATGTCTTTTTATTAGATCAAGAACATTGTTAGACAAAACAAATTACAGATAGGAAATAAAATTTGTAATTATGCGTATTTTAGGTAATTAACTCATGTTACACAGAGAGGAAGTCTTACTTTAGCCAACAAAATATTTAAGATCACAGACCTACTTGTGCAGTAGCTATTAAGATGATGATAGACGAATACTAATTATTTAGGTTTACTTGCAACCTTCGATTTCATGTAACAGGTGATGATATTCTTATTCTTTTCAGATGAAAATACTAATTTCTTTTTAAAAAGTCATGAAAGCAAACACATACAGCAAGACTGGATGAAGGAGTGTTTTGTGTACTATTGTTATCTGATGAGCACAACCCAATTTTAGGAAGTAATGCCTGTTGGATTTTGCGATTGCCACCTCTGTACCCAATGCCGTAAGAGTATGGGAAATGAGTGCATATCTAATGAGATCAACCATAAACAATCTAATTTTGTATTTTATCAACACAGTTTAAAAAAAACAAAAAACATTATTTTTCCTCCCTAGCTTAAGAACAGCAGCTCAAGATTTACTGCAACATGTTAGATAAAGTACAATGCTCGGCTGATCTTTATTATTTGTGTTATGTTCAAGAAATGTTTGCTGACTACTGTCTTCAACGTCACCTCTATTCATTCTGCTTTCATGCTGCACTGTGCTCACCAGGCTGAGAGGCTCTCTTAGGTTGACGTCTCATGTCCTTCCTTCTTCCCCTTTCATTCTTTCTCCCTGCCCAGCTCGCCCCCCCTCACTTACCCTTTTCTGTGCTAAATAGGTACTCCAGTTTTGGAGTATTTCCTCCCCTCCCTCCCTTAACTTTTGTTCCATTTTCTTTCCACCTTTCAGCCTTTATCTCCACATGCATGTAGCTACTTCAGGTAAGACAGGTAGACATAGCACTTTACTAGAATTACTCTCTTTCTCACCGGTCCATCCAAAGAGCTATTGTGTTGCTGAGAGGCTTTGAGTGGCCATAGAGTGCGTCTGTAGAGATCAGTTTCAAAACAACAAAGCAGAGGTCTTGGGCAGTGTCTCCCATCTTGTTCCTAGCAGGTAACGACAGACTCACTACATGACAGGCTGAGAAGAGAGTCTGTGAGTGAGGGCTTGTTATGTAGACTGTATGTGCCCCTTTAGTTCATCTTAACTAGCCTGTGTGATCACAAGTACAGAGAAGAACAGAAGCTCCGTGTCTCTCTTGCTACATAATGAGTGAGTGCAGTTTCAGGTGTGACAAAGCAGGATAAGCAGTGATTTATGAAACTGTCTTAGATGGGCAAAAACGTGTCTCACCAGAAAAGAAAGGAGACACCAGAGAATAGTTATACAGCGTAATGATGCGTCTTATAACAAAGAGCAGCACCTGAGGGAAAAGGAAGAATAATGCACACATACAGTGACAAAGATAGACTTTTATCCTACTACAAAGACCTTTGGTCTGACCTGTCACAGATTATTAATGACTGTTAATGTACACCGCTTTGTTAGTTTGTGTTTGCGTGTGGCCCGCGCCCACTGATCATATGGAGACCAGAAATTAATCGTAGATGACCAAACAAATTTCATAAAGGCCCCGCAGATTATTTTCCTGCTGTTGTTTTAAATATTAATTCTTTAAGAACGCAATACATGTCGTTTTGCAAACATGCACTGATTGAGTAATGAACAGGGAGGTTTGCAATTTACTTTATTACATCAAACACACGAGTTGAAATAATATGTTACACATTACACTGAAGAATACTGTGAGCTGCAGACAAGATATTTGAAAAGGGATGGTAAATGCACCTTAAGTTTGGAATATTTTATGTTGAAGATTTAAGCCATATTCCAGTAGCAGTAAAACACCAATGAATTAAAGCTAACTGTGTCTGCACACAGCTTCTTCCTCCTTACCAGTCCCTGAAAGACATCCTCTGTCTTTGCAGACAGAAGCTGGAGTCTTATGGGACACAGAGCGCCATAGCGGCTGCTCGCTCTCCTAGTAAATCACTGACCCAGAGCACAACTACTGTACACACATGCACACACATAACTCCCCGGAGAAGCGCAGATACAGCCTGTGAACCTCATCACTCAGTGAGGGCAGAGTAAAGAGCGATGAGAAATGTCACAGGGGGGCTACCCCCACCTCCTTTCCTGAGTGACCACCACACTGCTCTTTAAAGTGCATCCTTCCTTTCTACTTCCTTTCCTCCTCTTTCCTTCCCATGAGGGATCAACAATCTGAAGAGACTGGCTAAGGTGCGCTGGGGAGTCCTTCACTTGGGCAATAGACCAAGCTTCAGCTACTTCAAAGAAAGAAGGAAAAGGAAGGATGGAAGAATCTTTTTTTTGTTTTTAAAAAAAACCATACTATATGATACGTCTCATCTGTCACCCATCTCTCCACTTCTTTGCTTTCTGTCCTTTTTCCGGCGTCTCAAAAAACTCTCGTCCAGAAACAGATCCCATTACATGCCATTATACACACTCAGACTCTCTCTCTTTCACATGCACACACACATTAATACAACTGAGAACAGAGTGCAGGAGGTATTGTGGGTACAGATCAAAATTGGCAGGATGGTCTTTGTGTAGGCAGATTAGATAAAAAAACAAAACAAAACACTAATGGCATTAAGCCGATGGCCTGAAAGCCACAGTCACACTGACAACCACTCAGGGGAATACACACCCGTCCCCAGTGACAGAAAGAAGGAGCCACTGACACATCAGAGGCGGGGATCAGGTTTTCTGTTTTTGTGGCGATGGTTCTATATCGGAGCTAAAAGCTACATAACCAGGCACGTTTATTTTTGTACCATAAAGCCCAGAAAAGTATTCTCGAAACACAGATTCACTTCACAGTAGGACAAGGTCACACTGAATGAGGCCCCACATCTGCCTTCCTGACCTCAAGCTCAAAGTTGTAGAGCTCATTACTGTTGGCATAGTGTACAACTAGCCTATGTTCCTCAGTACATGTGCATACATGAATGAGTGTGTTCAAGTGTGTTTCCAGTGTCTAGAGGTACAAATACATCCAGATGAGAACATGGGAGTCATATTTCCTTCAAGAAGCCATCCACCTAAAGCAACACACACACACAACTAATGCTAATCAGGATTAGGTTTCATGTGCTCTGGAATGTGTGTGTATATGCGAATATGTCACTAGTGCTGGAGGAATTGTAGAAATTGGCAAGTCATCTGTTCACGCATGACGACTTTAGGTCATAGCGGAGGCAAAATACAATCCACTCACATAGTGGGCATGAGATTATTCTCGTAACTGAGCTTTTAATCAATGATATATTAGCAGGGTAGCGTTATGATGGAGATGATTACTTGGGAATTTTTCCCCCCCTCTGGTGCAATTTTCACAACAGCAGAGATAATCAATTTGCTACAACTGAAACTTCCAGCTTTAATTCACAAGCTAAAGCAGCATATTGAATTACATGTTCACTAATGGAGAAGGCTTGAGTGTACAACTCAGATGCAAGTTGATACAAGTAAAAATGGGACAATAATTCATTCATACTCCCAAAAACCAAAGATTTCTTTTTCCTCCCCTCAGATTTCCAATAACATGTTTGGCCACAATTAGAGCCCCTCTGGTATATCAGGACTGAATCAGTATAGTGTGTTACAGAACACAAATCTCCAGAGCGCCTCAACTTGTAAAGCAATCTCACACAGTGCTACAGTAATATACTAATGCATCTCATCTTCCTCTTTACAATGTTCCATAGGTTCTCATTTGGGTTCAGGTCAGCTGATTTGGCTGGCCAATCACAGACAATAATAACATGGTCAGCAGCATGGTAGCAGTTTTGGGACTGTGGCCAGGTGCTAAGTCCTGTTGGAAAAGGAAATTGACATCTCTATAAGATTTGTCAGCCAATGGAAGCATGAAGTGCTCTAAAAATCTCCCGGCAGTTGGCTGTGTTGACTTGGATGTGATAAAAAAAAGAAAAGTAACAACTGTTAACATCAGCAAGTGACATATCCCCCCCCCAAATCACAGACTTCAGACACCTCACACTGGACTTCAAACATCTTGAGTTCTGTGCCTTGCCACTGTTCCTTCAGACTCCAGGACCTTGATTTTCAAATGAAAAGCAAAATGTACTTTCATCTAAAAAGAGAACTTTGAACCACTGTGGAATTTTTTCCAGTTTTATTTCTTTTTAAACCTGGTAAGACGTTTCTGATACTGTGTCTGAGCGGTTTAATATTAGGAATGTGACAGTTGCTGCTCCTTTCCAGAAGAGATCAACCTCAGTCAGCTCTTTGTGGAGCTCTCACCAGTTCTTGAATGGACTTTTCTCGACAAGGTTAGGGTACACCTTTTCCTACCATACTTTTCCCTTGTAGTCGGCTTGCTTTGAAACGTGACTCTTAAAACAGCCAGCCTTTTCAGCAATGACCTTCTGTGCCTTACTGTCCTTAGAAGGGTGTTGATAATCGCCATCTGAACAGCTGTGAAGTAACCAGGCTTCTCTGAGAGAGAAGACTGGACGAGCTTTTATACTGATTGATTGGCAATTTGCTCAAACTTAAAATATTCTAATAATCTGGGATACTGGACTTCAGATATCAGAGAGTTTTACATGCAATTAATATAGAATATACTGTATATAGAATATAAGTCTATATTTTTTAACCAAACTACCAAAAATATATTTTCATAATATCCTAATTATTTGAGATACAAGAGTATGTGGGAGTGCATTGACATCTGGGATTATTAACATTAAAATAACTATTATTTCCCAAGTACTAACAAAACAGACACTGGATTAAATACTTAGACCAACATTCTTTGTGCTGTTTGGGGCAAAGTTTTATCTCACTATCTTGTTTTTAGTGTCATTCAGTTTATTTTGGCATCTTGGCTCACAGTAAAACTCTCATACCAAACCACTGCCAATAATCAGTTGTGTTCCATTTGCTTACTTACTTACTGACATTTCCTGAAATGCAATGGAAAAATCGTACATGCACTGGGAGCTACTTCTGATTGTTGTTTCAGAGGCTTTATAGCTCTCGTGACAACGCTGTATAAAAAAAACTTGTGCCAGAAGAGAAAAATCTGTGATCCATACTGATGGATTTAACCTGACAGTGAAGGTGGTTAGAAGTGCAGACTCTTGCTGGAGCACAAACTCAGCAGTTTGCATGCTTGCAATACTTTAAAATAAACCACATATTGTTTAGTTGATCACAGATGGTTGATAAATTAAAACTTTGTGTGTTTGTGTTTGTGTTTGAGAAGTGAGAAGGAGCGAGAATGCAGACCATGTCTGTGTGCCAGTATTTGTTAAGTTCATCTTTGGGAACTGAGCATTTTCCCCCCCATACTTGTTAGGTGAAAAGCCAAGAAAGAGCACCGGCCATATATGACTATCTTCTGTACTCATTTTTCTCCCCCCCTCCCTGCCTCTGGTTTTCCCCCCACATTGATATCTGATCTGCACTATTTTAAAGCACCTTCCATATTCTGGTTTTTCTAACCTGCTGAGAACACTGGCTTATGTTACACATTGTATGTCTCTGTGTGTGAATTATATGCTACCTCTCCAATGGATGTGTGTATTGAACTTGCCTTGGTGAAAAATACAGAGAGGTGAGTTTCACTGCCAAGGATCCAAATAGGGAACTTTGGAGACTTGAGGAATGCCCCGACCTGCAACACACACACACACACACAAACACACGCACACATGCACACACGCACACAGAAAAGGAATGCATAACCTGTGAGTGTCTATTTCAGTAAATTTCATCATGAATCAGTAATTGCTTGAAATGTAACATGCAGATTTTCCATTCAACATTAATATTTAAATAACAGCGGCATGTTATTTCTCTAAAACCCTCGACAATAATATGCATAATGAAATGCTGTAAAATGACAATGATAACTTAAACCGCCATGAATAGCATATAAATGCGCTGCTTTGTAACGTCGATCTTAAGAGCTCTTTAGTTACATTGGCAACCATCTACTTGCCATTAACCTATTACAGCTGCTTACTCACTTTACCTGTTCACAGGCTCCATATCTCAACTTCAGCTATTTTTGGCTTGCTTATATTGATAAATGAGCATTCCTGTTTTTCAAGCCAGCTGAATTATTTTGTGGTACAAGCATTTTTATACGTTTTCGTTGTGATTGGTCAGCCTTTCAGTACACGTTTTCCAAAAATAACTGTTCCTTCCAAACATATTTTCCCCTGGGAGTACAAACTTTGGCCTATGGTTCACAGTTTGAAATGTCAGAATTACAACTAACAACAAGTGTTTGTGTCTTTATTTGTATTTGTAGTCCTCCTTTCAGTTTTCACAATGGGCGTCTTTATTTGCATTCAAGCTTTCTTGAACAAACACAAATCCTCTGAAAGCTCACAAACGACCACCACTGGACAATTTGTTTATACTTTTAAATTATGCTTCGTGAACCTACAGAAAGAAGTTGGCAAGCTGTGTAAAATGTAAATGAAAAAACTGAATGATTTGAATCCATTTCAACTCCATAGCTAATTGAAAACATCTTTAATGCTGGAACTGTAGAAAACTGTAGTGGTTTTTGAAAAACAGAATTGGGACAGCAGCTTTAAGAGACTGGAAAAGTTGGGCAATACTAGACAATCACTTTGTGGAGAATTTTATAACTGATTAGAAACTGGAAACAGTCAGGATGATGGCTGGATATAAAAAGAGCACCCCAGAGATGCTGAATCTTTCAGAAGTAAAGATGTGGAAGGCATCATCATTTGTTGAGAGACCATATGGTCATAATGTTAAATAATTCAAGAGTGTTTCCAAACATAAACTACCAAAGACTCGGGGCATTTCATCATCTACAGTTCGTACTACGTCCAAAAGATTCAGAGAATCTGGAAACATATCTGTACGCAAAGGACAAACCAGAAAACTAACATTTTTCTGATCACTATTATTATTATAAATGGACATAGACTATTGCTGGTAAACAGAATTTGCAGCTGTATCCACAAATGCAAGTTAAAACTCAACTATGCAACCAGAGAAAACCCAACATCCTGACAAATCCACATTTAAAATTCCTTTTTGGAAATCTTGGACATTGTGTCTCTGAGGAACAAATGAAATGGACTGTCTGGCTTGTTATCAGCATGAATTCAAAATTCAGCATCTATGATGGTATGGCATTATGTGTTTGCATTGGTGCATAAAGTAAGGGCATCTCAACTTAATTCAAATGCATTTATAAAGCACAAAAAACTGAATAGATAAGAATGTGCTAAACATAGGAGCACAGGAGACACAATGGGCAAATCAGACACTCAAATGCCAATTAGTACAAATAAGCTTTGACTCAATGAAGGAACAGATTTGACTGTGAGGGGAATGCTGTTCCACAGTTTGGGGGAAACACAGTGAATGCATGACTTCTCCTAAGTTTAAATCTAGAGCGCAGGACAGTCAGAAGCATCCGATCGATTGAGCAGAGGGACCTGGAAGCAGCGCATTGATGTAAGAGGTTGGACATGTAATAATGAATCAGACCATGAAGGGCTTTGTAAACAAACAGAGCCTTGCACATCGGGCAAATAATCATTATTTCTTAGCAATATATGCAGGAATCAGTGCTACACTTGCTAACCACATAAAAATGTCAAATGCATTTTCAAGAAAGACCTCGCTTGCTTCACTAAGACAATGCTAAACCACAATTTGGACTCATTACAAAAGCATGGCTCTTTAGCGCCCCTGCAGGCCAATCTGTTGCAGAGCGGATATTTTTCAAAAGCCAATACAATTTCTAGGCTTCAAAATTTGATGTTCACGTAGTCAAATGACATGCAACTACATGTAAGTTTCATTTGATTTGAAAACGATGTTTTGTGACATTTTAGAGAGCTTCCCAAGCTTTGTGAAAATGTAAGTGTATCTGTGTCTGTACCTTGCAGTAGCGTAGTGATTCCATCAGTGTGAGAAAACCAACACATGCCTGTTTATGAATTCCCTGTAGTTCTGCAAGACAAGAATGGGGAGAAAAATACAACAACAACAACAACAACAACAACAAAATAAGAATTCCAATGATGTCAAACTGGTATTCATTTTTAGTTTTGTGCAGTGCTGTGAGGTTTAAGAGTTATGACAGTCTGGTGACCAGAGTTTAAATCTTAGACCACAAATGACTTCTGCAACTCTCATATGTGTAGATGTTTCTTTTGTGCGGATTTGGTGTCTTTAAGCATCTCCGTGCAATGCTTAATTGAAGTCTTACTCATTCCAGAGCACTCCCTGTCTCCATCCCAGACATTAGAGACCGCATGACCAGTTATAAGAAGGTTCACCAGGCTTTGACTGCAAAAGAGGGGAAAAGACGCATCAAGAGGGTGAAAAAAAAGAAAAAAGAAAAAAAAGAAGATTTGCTTCACTACCTCCCATGGCCATGTACAGGATCTATGAGAGGCTCCATTGTGTCCTGGATCTCATTCCTTATATTTTCAATGCCCTGCACAAACAGAACCAAAGGAAATTAATGTATTTAATTTTTGGTTAAACTGATGAATGACGATGATTTAATGCAAAAAATCAAGGTCTTAAAATTCAGTAGCAGTTTCATTCACATCATAATTATTTCAGTGTTGCATTTTTCTAACCATCTCTGTCAAGTGCTTTCATTTCTTTACCTTAGTGAGGATGACAGAATAAAGGAAAAGCAAGACTCCACAGCACCCCCTCCAGGTGTGGTAGAGAGACAGCACCTCCTCTCTGAGATGGGCCACTGACATGACCGTCCGTTTGCTGCAGGAGGGAAACAAACACAAGAATGATGTATGAAACACTCAAAAGACAAATGTGCTGGGCTTCAGGAGGTGTCAATTTGACAAATGCACTAACTGAGTTTGTGATGCCCAGATGCCCTTTCACAACAGGGCAGGCATCAAATAAATGAGAGGTTGAAGAATAATCTGATCTTTTGTTTGGAGCCACTTCCCTCCTTTGTTCAACCTTGGAAAGTTTGGTAGTGAAGCTATTCGTCTTGGTTTGCGTGCACTTCCTCACAGTGAGTCAGCACTGCTTTTTGCTGACTACCGTCTCAACTGCCAGTGCGCTATTTGATGAAATTTCAATATTTGTCTGGCAAACACACCACTGCATTTATTTGGCTTGTGTTTGTGTGGCAGACGGTGTGAGAGAAAGGTAGTTCTTTTTTATTAGGCAATCAGTGAAAATGCTGAATCAGCAAATTGTGAGCAGTGAGTGAGTGAAAAAGGTAACACCGATGTGAAAGCCAATTCTTGCAGGCTTAGATTAATCTAGTTGAAATGTGCTGCTCTCTAGTACAGTAATGCATATTGACATCTGTCCCACAATGACTTACAAAGTCCAAATCCCTCCAGAATACCAACAGTAATTACTTAATATCAGGATTTTATGGGAATTAAAGAAGCTAATTGTTATATATGGACAGAATATTTACTGTCACTTACTGGAGAACACTGTGAAATTGCTCAAAGCCAAGCTCCTCAGCAGCCAAAGCAGCTAGGCACAATAAAACACACAGAAACCATAGTGTTAGAGCATGTCACATTAAAATACTGGATCAAGTGATTAGTCATTAAAAATTTCTATTTAACAATTAAATATTAAGACAAGTCTTCATTTAAACAGTAAAAATACTTCTGCAGTTTCATTTTCAACGTGCATCTTTTATGGAAACGTGACAGACGTAGGACTCACTGGGTTGCTGTTCCTGTGGTGGCTGACTGCTTGCTGGCTCTGGCATGTCCTGTGTTTGCGACTGTGCCTGTGTGATTGTTTGTGTGCTAGTGTGTGGGCTCTGTCCTTTGGCCCAGGTCACCAGGCAGAACCCCGTGGAGGTGCTGGAGCAGACAGACTCCAGGATTTCGCTTAGCGTCGAACAGAGTGCCATTTTCTGCTCCTCCTCTAACATACACAAACATAAAACGTGCTTTAAAAAAACAAACAAAAAAACAAAACCAGGCAATTCAGTGAATGAGGTTTTTTTTAAAAAGAAATTACCTGACATTTGTCTCCAGTTGGAACTCTCTCTGCTAAAGAGGACATTTTTTAGGAGGAAAGCCTGCAAAGAAACAAACTCTGTAACCAAATTTGCAAGAAATATTGCATGGTGCAATGTGCTTTATCTCTTAGACATTGTTTGTCCAAAATCAGCAATCACAGACTAACAGAAACTAATATTTACTTCATTTTATACAAGTAACCATTTGTATGGGGCAGTGTTGGGACTAACGCGTTACAGTAACTACGTTATTATTGTGGTAACGAGCACGGTAACTAGTTATTATGCCAAAACCAGGAACGCGTTACTTGTTACTGGGATTTAAATATGCTCGTTATTCGTTACTTCGTGTGGTGGCTGTCGCGGAGCTTCCACAGATTCAATAACATTTGCAAGTGGTGAATGCCAGCAGGTGGATGAAGGAAAAGGGAGGCAAGAGGAGAGACCCGAAGCGGCCGCCGGACCGAGTGTCAGGTGAACTGAACTTAGAAGTTATGACCTGCAGTCCATCTAGGTCAGATATGATCCAAGTTTAGGTGGAGTTTATTTTCGTTATGCTGACTTTTTCGTACTGCGTGCTAGCTAGCATGACAGAGTTTCTATACAGCTGGGTGGTGCTATGATGTTACTGATGTTGAACTTTATTTTGTTCATAAGGTTAATTATTAGAGTTGCCAACTGTCCCGTAAAAAACATAATCGTCTTGTATTCAGAGAAAATATTACGCATTTCGTATTGAGGTGAAAAGGAACAGTTTGTCCTGTAATTCAGCTACAATGAAGACACAAAGCTGGATTTATTCCGTGTTTACGCTGCACAGCTGCCCCTTTTTCCTCTCATTCTCTCCTCTCCTGTTTCTACTTCAATCATAAAACTGATCAGTGATCAGCGTATCGGCTTTAGTTCAGGTGGCAGAGCAGGTCAGCCACTAATCAGAAGGTCGGTGGTTCGATCCCAGGCTGCTTCCTGGCTGCATGCCAAATATACTAACCCCATGTTTGCCTACTAGTGGTGAGGGCCCGGTGGTGCCAGTGTCCGGCAGCCTCGCCTCTGATAGTGCGCCCCAGGGCAGCTGTGGCTACAATGTAGCTTGCCATCGCCAGTGTGTGTGTGTGTGTGTGTGTGTGAATGGATGAATGACTGAATGTAGTGTGAAGCGCTTTGGGATCCTTAGGGACTAGAAAAGCGCTATATAAATGCAGG